GCTGCTATCAGTGGCCCAATATAGTTACACATTCCTGCAGCACTGTACACGAGTCGTTTCGTGCTTGAATGTAAAGATATAATATATACATTTTAAAATAACAAAACAATCCTTGTCATGACCCATTCATTAAGAACAATTTTCAAATATGTTTCAATCCTTGTCATGACCCCCATATATATAATGTTTGTTTCTGATCCTTTACTCACTCTAGATTCAGAAGAGCTTCAATACATTTGAACTATGTTCCAGTAACATTATTTTGCATATGATTGTTCCTTACAAATATTGCCACTTCACAGCACCCATCTAAAAATTCATTTACAGCCACTTAGAACAAATGGAGATTTCTTGGGACTGAACAAGTGATTACAGAGCATGGGGTTGGCCATGAATAATTTCCTTGAAATGGGCTCTCCAAGGAGAAAGTGGGAGCCTCTCTTCCATTCGCTGACACTGAAGTGCAATATCCCAGAGTTCTACAGTGTGCTGAAATCACATCCTTAGTGTGAGAGAGAGACGCTGACTGTTCTGCATGATAACGTGAGCAGGAAAAGGGGCAGCATCATTAACACATGTCATTTCACCCGTGAGAGGGAAGGCACGCTGAGAGTCTAATGAGATCTGAGGCTGATATTTGGAGACATGTCCCCTCCTCAAGGTGGGACGAGGGCTGCAATGCTAATGCCTGTGTAATTAGCAGGCAGGAACAAAGCTAGCCACGGTTAGTAACCATCACATTCACAGAAAAAGACAAGACAGGAAGAGGAGAAACAACTATCCCTCAAATCTCCCACAATACACTTGAATTGAATGTATATGAAAATACACAATACTGTATAGTCAAAAGTATGTGGCCACCCAAACAATAATAACTGCTTGTGAACTTGGGAAGGCTTTCCACTAGATGTTTCCACATGGCTAATGGGGACATGCTCTTATTTGAATTTGAGCAAAAGTTAAGTCAAGCATTGATGTTGGAAACTGGGGTCTGACTGACTGTTGGACATCTAATCTATCTCAAAATGTGCAAACTCTGTAAAAAAAAAAAATCTTTCATGGACCTTGATTTGTGCATGGGCAATGTCATGTTTTTAATGAAACATAATTTCGCATAATTATCTATGCCATTGAATGACATAGTTCAGTCAGGGCCACTTTCGTCAAATTTATCATGATAATGAAAACAGTTAGTGTTGGTGGTGTGGTTCTGTTATGGGCAATATCCACGCACCCATCCATGCAGCCATGACGGGACAGAGTGGGGAGAGCAGCAAGTAACCCAGCAAACACAAAAACGTTTCAAAAACCTTTTTTTCACGTCGTGAAAAGGTTGTGATAACGTTTTTATCCGACGTATTTAATACGTCAGATGTCTGTTTTTTTCACATTATAAATACGTTTTTTTACAAAGTTGCATAAAGTCGTAAAAAAGTTGTTTTTTAACGTTGTTAATGCAACGTTCTTAAAACGTAAATATCACATCTTACTTTGTGGACATCGTCAGTTGGTTATAACACATTTACCCGAAATCACCAACACGAAGTTCCAGGTTTTGCTTTGAATGTAAATTACCTTGAAGTGTTCCTCACACACTGCATGTTCCACATCGGCCTTTTGTGATTCCATTGTGAAGCATAGTCGACCCGTTAAAAACAGTAAAACGTCACTGGAAATAAATAGCCTACAGACAGTTAATTCTTAGGGACTGATTTAACTTATTACATTAAAAGTTATGGATTGATTTATTAATCCATTAATTCATGTAGCCTAACTACCCAACTTTTCCTTCAAGCAAAAGGTGTCCAAAAAACAAAAGGTTTCCTCAAAAAAGAAAAGAGCTCGCATCTCAATAAATAAATGTATTAATACAAAATTTAAATTAAAAAAATATAAACGAACAATATAACAATATAAAATATATGTTATAACCATTTTACCAAAATCAATGTAATCAATAAAGAAAATACACAACATTTGCAGCCTATTACAAAAACAATGTTGACAAAACCAACTATACAAAGAACATACAGATACACACAACTGTAATAATGCTAAAATATTGATATATGAACAACAACAAAAAATAGACAATGTTGATTAATAGGGCTGTAACGATACACTTAATAATATTGACCAATTACCTTGTTTTAATAAATAAAAGGTAACGTTAAATGTGGTGAGCAGGACGGCGAGCAGGACCTGTGAAGCACACCGGTCTCGCATCTCTCATGGAGAAGCGGAAGCTCGATCATGCAATGATTGTTGAGCCACCAGCCACGACAGAAGTTTCCACTTTAAATCCTTTAGACTGGTTGTTTTTTCTCTAGCATCTAAAGTGAGAAAGAAAATAACCAAAATGTAAATGTAAAAAAAACAACGGTTGTCCAAAATGTGAAGTATACTCTGGAGTTTATCCCTCTACACGTACAAGATTTCAGTCAGGTAAATTGTGGCTAAACGTTTGCTTGATTGAGTGACGTCACGTAAAAACATTAATTAAACTGTTAACTTACAGACAGTGCATACTTTTAGGTTAAATAAATGAGCTTACTATTCACATCCATATACCATTTGCCAGTAAAACATTTAACATTACAAAACTATCAAAATCTCTCATCTAACGTTACACATAAAATGCAATTAAACGCCCAAACAAACTTGCCTCCTCCAACAGTTAACGTTAGCCTAACGTTAGCATGATGGTTAAGATGCTAACAGACTATTTCGAATACACTAAACCAATTCTATACAGTAAATATTCAACGGAAGTCTGTCATTTACATGAAAGAAAGTGTCAGAAACATTTGTATGTACTAGTTGTGTAATTTTAGGGACTACACTTACCTGAAAGTAGTTAAAACAACAGTGAGAGACGGAGTTTAGCAGCTTCCCAGACAGCAAACTGACATTGAATCAACGTGGAAACGACGTCTCTCATGACATCGAAACAACGTTGATTTTGCTCATCGAATTAACGTTGAACCAACGTCAGACGCGGCATTCTTCAAAGCTAAATGAAAATTGAAAATTGGTTTGCTTTCATAACGTTGAAACAATGTTGATTTCAAGTTGATTTTCCGCTAGTTTTGAAAGAATGTTGGCTCACTTGACTGACGTTGGTTCAACGTTAATTCGATGAGCAAATCAATGTCAGATCAACGTTGTTTCGATGTCATGTTTCCACGTTGAATGTCAAGTGTCAGTTTGCTATCTGGGTTGTCAGTTGAGCTGTCGGCCCGTTTCCATGGTAACGCCCTCCGCTCAAGTTCAGATGCGGCTCGAATTTCAGCGCGCGCGCCCATTAAAACATGTAGAAGTCACGCAGCATTTACATACATTTAGTCTAGAATTGATAGAATTGTTTATTGGGTTGTATGGTGTTTATACTATGCATTATAGGCATATTTAAATGTAGTGATTGTTAACGAAATAGGTGTAGCCTATACAGCACAATAGTTTTCAACGAGATATGAACCACCGGGGAGCGCTTTTTGCTGGATTTCTGCCATGCCAAATCTTGTAGGTGGTTTGCGAACGTATATGTGCTTATAGCTTTTTAATTTATTGACGAGCCAACTTGATTTAGGGAAAAAAGAAAAAAAATGAATAAACAACGTCCAAATGACGTCTGGTGCTGCCTCGGTTAGTTCGGTCTTGTTTCGTTTTGTAGACAAACGTAATAGTCTTTTTTTTTTACTAAAGAAAATGTACCAGTTTGGTATTTTAACAACGTTTTTGAAACGTCTTATTCCAACGTACCCAGATAGCAAACTGACATTGAATCAACGTGGAAACATGACATCGAAACAACGTTGATCTGACATTGTTTTGCTCATCGAATTAACGTTGAACCAACATCAGACGCGGTATTCTTTCAAAACTAACGGAAAATAAACTTGAAATCAACGTTGTTTCAACGTTATGAAAGCAAACCAATTTTCGATTTTCATTTAGCTTTGAAGAATTTTTGCTCATCGCCTGACGTTTTGATGAGCAAAACAATGCCAGATCAACGTTGTTTCGATGTCATGAGAGACGTCGTTTCCACGTTGATTCAATGTCATTTTGCTGTCTGGGTAGAGATTACGTTAATTTAACACCTGAATAAAATGTCTTCCAAAAGTTGTAGTTTGGTCTAGTTTCCTTTTAGTAGTAAACAAACGTGATATGTACGTTTTTTGACTACTTAAAAAAAAAAAAACATACCAGTTTGGTATTTTCACAATGTTTTTAAAACATTTTATTTTGGTTACATTATTTATCCATTTATAAAAAAACGTTTTAAAAATGTTTTTAAAACGTTGTACTAAAACATTACCTAATTACAACCAAAATACAACGTTGTGAAAAGTTGTAAAAACGTTTTGTGTTTGCTGGGAAAAACACTTGGGGTAACAAAACATACCCAGTAATCCTGCATACATAATTTCAATCAAATTTTTACATGAGTGTTGTAAACAAGCCAAAATACATGAAAGATGCATGAATCCTTTTTTTATTGCCTGTGTGTGAAGGGGTTGTAATCACAAATTACAAAGATCCACTTGTCGGGTTTTGCTATTATCTCTGAAGGCCAGTATTCTTATTTCTATGTGAAGTCTCTGGATGTCATGAAAGAGCATGTACACAGCTTTATTTAAACCTTTCACACGTACGTTCTGAATATTCAGACTGGCAGCCTGGCGTGAGTTTTTTTGTGCGACCGTTATTATGCAATGACTTGCGTTCTAATTTCCATGGCGACGCATCGACCTTGTCACGTGACACTTTGCACAGTCACAATGGCGCGCATGATGGAAAACCACCTACAGGTGAGTGGTTTGAATGTTTCATTTTATTTTTTATTCAAATCATCTAAAATATAATTTTTAGCATGCACTGCATGCTAAAAAAATATATTTGAGATGATTTGAATAAAAAATAAAATGCCCCAGCAATCAAGCTTCTTTGGGGCCCGAATGGGGCCCTTACGGGCAGCCCACTGTGGGCCCAGATACCGGTGTGAAATGCGGGGCACGTGTGGGCCCCACACTTCGGGACCCAGGTGGGGCCCCCATTGGGGCCAGTTGTGGGTCCACTGTGGGGTCAGTTGCAAAGTTTGAGCTCACAGATCAGGTACAATTGCACTTGTTAGCAGCAATAAATCAAGAGCCATGTTTTTCCCCCCAAATAATTTATTTATATTTAATAATAATTGTAATTAATAATTAAACAGTTTACACAGAACACTTAAACAGTTTACACAGAACACTTAAACAGTTTACACAGAACAGTTAAACAGTTACACAGAACACTTAAAACACATCAATGTAAATTATTAAAAATCAATCCTCAAAGGCACCAGTAGGTATTGCAGTTCTTGCCCTTCCTTGCCTTCCCCCATCTCTGTCCCTGGCATTACGGAGCCATGTTTTTATAGAGGCTTCCACCTCACATGCAGTAGCTTGGCTACTTTTTGTCACAGCATCTAAGCGAGAAAGGATCAATTCAAATACAAATATTAAAAACAAATGAATTGGGTAACACTTTAGAATACGGTTCCTTCGTTAATGAATAACTACACAAGAACTAATGAGTAACACAATATTAACAATCTAGTAACTATTATTAACTAACAAGAAACTCTGATTAACGAACTAGTAAGTAATAGTGCACAGACGAAAGTGGTAGTTCACTATTAAGTAATCAATAACTACTATTTTTTAATACTTCCCAGAGAACTACTGAAAAAGTTTATTAACAATCTAGTGACTACTATTAACTAAAAGAAACTCTTATTAACGAATTAGTAAGTAATAGCTCACAGATGAAAGTGTTACTAGATACTTCTGTGGGAATTACTAATTATTTGGATTCGTATTATAAAGTGAAGATCATTGGAACTAACTAGTAATTACTCAAGTGTTAGTAAAGACATTTTCTAAAAGTTACTAAAGTTCACCAAAAATCTCAAACATTTGCACAAATCATGACTAGATCATGTAGTAACACTTGAGTAATTACTAGTTAGTTCCAATGATCTTCACTTTATAATACGAATCCAAATAATTAGTAATTCCCACAGAAGTATCTAGTAACACTTTCATCTGTGAGCTATTACTTACTAATTCGTTAATAAGAGTTTCTTTTAGTTAATAGTAGTTACTAGATTGTTAATAAACTTTTTCAGTAGTTCTCTGGGAAGTATTAAAAAATAGTAGTTATTGATTACTTAATAGTGAACTACCACTTTCGTCTGTGCGCTATTACTTACTAGTTCGTTAATCAGAGTTTCTTGTTAGTTAATAATAGTTACTAGATTGTTAATATTGTGTTACTCATTAGTTCTTGTGTAGTTATTCATTAACGAAGGAACCGTATTCTAAAGTGTTACCATGAATTGTACTGTTAAGCCATTTCAACCTAAGAACCTGGAAACATCTTCTGATTGTTCCAGGTGCTATATAAATGCTCAACTATAGCGAATGACTGAATAGGTCAATGAGAGAGCTGCTGTTTATAATAACGTTCAGTTGTAAGTCATTTATAAGTGGTTAATGATGAACTAAGCGTTTAGAAACATTTTATGTATGCTTTGTAAATTCTGTTACAAGTCATTTACAAGTGATTAGTAAATTATTAACTAATTTTTTATGAAACATTATTATGCGTTTCATGAATGTTTAATAAGTGATATGTTAATTATTGCATGTATGTTTTGTAGATTCAGTTATAAGTCATTTACAATTGCTTAGTTATTGATTAACTAATAATTTACAAAACATGAACATGCATTTCAGAAATGTTTAATAAAGGTTTTATTTTTTGTGTGTACGTAGCAATTAGAGGGTACAGAATGTGTTGTAAATGCCTTGTATACATACAGATCATTTGTAACTGGTAAGTAACAGTGTTCAACACCATGATGACTAAACGCTTGAATAAATCATTTACGACACTTTCTGCTTGTAAATGATTTATTCATGCATTTACGCATGATCTATAACAGGTGTTGTGGAACAGTGTAAGTGCTGACTGGTGAGGATATAGACAGCTGTCTTGGAGTCACATGGAGTTTTGAACCATTGTGCACCTGATGTACTGTAAGCAAAACACACAAAAAACTGCAACATAATAAACATTTATTAAACGCAGTCATGTTTTTGTAAATAATTAGTTAATCATTTACTAATCACTTGTCAATGACTTGTTACAAAATTTACAAAACATACACAGAATGTCAGTATATCACTTGCTAATCATTTATGAATGTTTTTTTTAAATTATTAGTTCATCATTAACTAACCACTTATAAATGACTCACAACTGAAAGATATTATAAAGTGTTAACATTTATTGGTATAGAAAATTAGACTAATGGATCAGAATTGAGATTACACAGTGAAAGAGTAAATTAATTTGTTATTATTTTAATATTTATGTTTAAACAACATACAGTACATTTTGTAACAAAGGCCCTGAAACTGAAACAATCTCCATGTTTATGCTAAATGTGCATTGGACATTTGTTGACAAACAAACGAGGATTACTGGGTACAGGAATTGAGATAGATCAAACATTGTTCATTTACTGTACATTTACACCTGACTACTGATTTTTCCTCCACATTTAAAAAAAGAGTATTCCTGTTATAAGGACATATCATATACTGCACCTATAACTGCTTTGCAGACCAACATCTGTCCAAAGGCCATCTTCTGGCCAGAGCCCTTCCAGCACAGTTGCTGGGCAAGTGGAATGGTCAGCATGCAGACCAGAACACGTCTGGTGTTGGAGGTTACGCTTGTACCCCCAACTGTTGCCAGATACTTTGCCTAAATTAAAGCAGTAACACATAAGTGTATATATAATGAAACTGTAGTGAAAAAGTACAAAACAAAAAAGCAACTTCTATAGAACCAAATATTTAATAAAACCAAGTGTACAATTGCACTGTAGCATGCCTCATCCTTCAGCTGGAGTTCTAGCTTTTGAAGGTCTATAAGACTTTTCAAAGGCAAATTGACACCCTCTGGCAGGTCTGCATTCACAGAGCTCTGTTTTGTCATTTTTAAAAGCAATTGCTTAATAATAGCAACCTCCCCTTTCAGGTGTTCTAGTTGACTAATAATTTGGCATTCTGCTGCTGGAGAGATAGATACAGAGAAAATATAAAATCTTCAAAAAAAAGTAACAAAAACTCATTGTAAGCATTAATGTACTGTTAATTTACGATTGTTCTTCAACTAATACAACAATATCCTCTTTTCATGAGACATAAAAACCTGAAATCAGTGCTTACGTGTAATAGTCTGCCTTCTTGAGAGAACTGGTGCTGGTGGGCCAGGTGGTGCAGGGGGAATAGGCGGGGCTGGTGAAATTTGTGTCGACAGCGGAGATGGTGGGGATGGAGGTGATGGCGGGGATGGTGGAACTGGTACAGAGCCCTTTCTTCTTTTACTCACTTCTTCAGATGAAGTGTGGCCCTGATCAGGGTGCCGTGAGTTTGGTCTGGTGTAAATAAAAGTCACATCGTGAATCCTTAATCCTAGATTTTTGTAATCTGAAATTACACACTCTACATTCCCACTTCTTTCTCCTGTTTAAGTTTTATAATCAATGCGAAAACCAAGAAACTTACTTCCTTTTGCGATTACATTTCCCCAGCATGGTGTCATTTTCTGAACTGAGACAGGAGAATGTCTCAGCCTTTTTGGCCTTCTGTCTGGCTTTCTCATAATCTGCTACAGAACAATAAACCAATACTCTGTCATTTGCCATCACATTTCTGCAAATTAAAAATTCTTAAGGCACAAGATTAAAGATTTAAACTAAGTTTTTTTTTAGACTTTCAGCATATAGTCACAATGTTCACACAACAAATCTACTATGATTAATTAACAGCTGTCTGTGGATTCCTTGACTTTTAAAGATACACAAATGCTTTATATAAAGAACAGAATTAAATCTAGAATATTGTTTGCCAAATGTAGCTTTTATTGACATAAACACTTATAATTAACTTCCCCTTGATATCAATTACGTCAAAAGACTTGATCAAGATTCTGCATTTTAAGGTCCGTTTTGGAAGTCATTGTCTTCCAGTGGTAATTACGTTTAAAGAGAAAGTTACTATTATTGTTAAACCCACACTGAAATGGTTTATGTATATGAAGGTATGTTAGAAATTCAGTTTACATCAAATCAATGTCATAGTTTAGAAGTCAAATTTAAATAATTTGGACACCACTGTAGCAAATGCAACATTTAATAACATACATAAAATGTACTTAAGGGGGCCGAAGGCCAATTTAGCCCAAAGGGACTGATTCATTGATTTACACTGAATCTTAACCGAGCAAACAACTCGTTTAGAGTTCATTTGATCGGGACGTAATTATAACCTTTGCAAGGATATAAATACCCAATCTATAGTGAAACACTATGTCTTAGCAAGGTAACTTTAGATCGAATAGTACAAGACATTAAATGTGCAAACACGACACAAGAAAATGTATCTTTTCAAATATTTGGAAGACTTTATTAGCTATTCTAAACACAAAACTAAGGTCTAAACATAGTCACGCAAACACACACATTCATACAGTCGCGAAAGGGAAAGAGTGAGTTGGAAAGAGTAAGAGAGAAAGTTTCAACTTTCTATATGCACGTAAGACATGACCTGAAAGGACCACCAATCATTAATTTGAACCTTTGTTTCTTAGAGAGGTTATTCAATTTACATTAAAGCACCAGTTCAGCTAAGAGTCTGGAGTACTTGCTTGTGTCCGTGTGGTTTTGGGGATTCCTTTGTTGTGTTGCATCGAAGGGCGGTTTCCCGGCCGGGTCCGTTGCGTGGTTGGTTGTCTTTGAAGTGCAGGGATGGAAGTTTCGCCGCTGGTCACGTGTGATTAGCAAACGAATGAGAGTCTTTTCCAATTCAAAGCGCGTTGCAAACTTAACTTTGAAACGAGACTTTTACGAAAAAGGAAATAAAGGAAAGAAACGACAGTAAGGCGAGTCGGATGGCTTGAATGAGCTGAATTGTAACCCTGATCTTGATGGGTTATTCTTCTGCTGGTCGAATTTGGTCTAGTCGATGTAGAAGCATGCAAACACGCTCTTTGTTTCAGAGAGAAGCACGAACAGAACACTCTCTTGCTGTTTTAGAGAGAGGCACGAACTTAACAGTTACAAACTGGAAACACGAACAGAACGAAAAACTTTGTTACATTCTGGACTGAACTGAACACGAACAAAAATCTGAACAGCAAAAACAAACAACGAACACAAAACTGAACATGAGGTCTTGTTCCTTTGTTTGGCTCTTTAACTTAAACTCTAGTCCAACCTCCCAGAAACTTCTGGCCAATGAGATAATGGCATGATTTTAGGAGGTGGATCTACTTCTTGCTTATCATCATTTATGCATGGTCTGTGAGCTGGTCTCCAGCACTTAGCAGAGAGACAAAATACCATAGTTTAAACCTTATTATTGGTTATTGTCCCCCAAAGCAGACCTTTTGGAGCCATCCAGTCAATGGAATGTGAGCTCCAAAACCTTTGGAGTTTTGAATCCATGAGAATTAATCCCATGAGAGATTAATTTGATTAAGTTGTGTTTGATTTGCCTCAATTCTCTACACCACATTGACATCAATGGTTTGTGTTATTGCATATGAATTCTAACTTTTTCTTAACCAAGGCCCAAAACTATTTCTCCTTTTGAACTGTGCCCAAATGTAAAAATGATGTGGGTTGACTTTAACTGAATACATTTCTTTCAAATTGTGACCAAAATTAATTTCAGTATTTATTTATTTATTTATTTATTCATTCATTCATTCATCAAAAATGATACTGATTTGTTGATTCACTTGAACTGTAATTTATTACAATTCCATAAATGACGAACAGCATTTTTACTGTAATCCCACATAATGTATTGTGTTTATATTATTCATATGTTTATTTATAGTGATACAATTAATTATTATATATATTGGATGAAATTAAATAATTGTAACACGTTTACAGTGTTACCAGTCAATTGTTAAAATATTTAGAGGTTTGATGCCAATTTGTCTTTTTAACATCCACATTAGAGTTTCAATTCAACATATTTGTGTGCATTGCAGTATAGGCTATGCATGCTGATCAATGTTTATGTTGACAAATGTGAATCGTAAACCTCAAAAGTGGCTCCACTGAATCATTCAAATTCAAACGAGTCACATATCACGCTAACGTCTGGAGACCGCAGGCGCGCAACCATTCTGCTGTGGCGTTATTTTGGAACTTTTTGCGGGACAATGACTGTGTCTGAAATGTAAGTCACTCACTTATTATAAACTAATTGTGTAGCCTATTTAATTGTATTTATTGAACATTTGTGAACAACCGTGCAGCTGAAGTGATTTCGGTGCGTATCTTTATAGCGACGCAATGGAAATGTACCAATGTGTTTTTCTTCAAAGGGATACAACAAGTGAACATTTATGAACAAAATTATTTAATTCATTTGAATGCAAAACGTACATTCAGGTATTTTTCTGCCGTAAAACAGTATTTAAAGTGATCCTTCACCCAAAAAATTACAATTCTGTCTGATGATTAGGCCTTAATATGCAAATGCGAGTGAAAAGCTCGCGCTGTCGATCCCTTATACTTAGTCACAGTACTTTGGTCAGGCATTTCGGAACATTCAAAACATGTAGGCCTTAATTTATGCAATTGTAAATGCAGTGTAAATATGTTAATGCCAGTTCTGATGCTGCTTCTGTGTCGCCTCTGCACTGCAAAGATGGATTTTGATTTAATGATTTAATTTGACTGCTAACAGTGGTATTGTGTAATTATTGTAATAGAATTTGATTTGAATGTTAGAATTTGACATAAAAGGTGATGCATACTTCTACAAATGTCCATAGTTGAAAATGCACCCGGAAATCAATTTAAGGTTAGCAAATATTAAAACATCATAGATCAAAGAGTTTTTATGATTATGCCATTTTTGCTATCAAGAACTTTGCAGATCTAGAGCGAGTTCTTTTCTCAGGGGAATCTACTGGAATCTAATATACTTAACAATAGAGAAGTTATTGCCTATTTTTACCACTTGTGTTCTCTGCACCAGAAAATCCCAGATCCAGTAACATAAGGAATTATGGACCCTGAATTGTTGGAGTTTCAAAAAAGTTTGCTGGGTAAAATTGTGTTAAAAGCAAGTAACAAGTAATGACTTACTTGTTTTGTACAGTGAGCGAACTTTGAATGATTCCCAGTCTTCTCCTGGTTTTTCATGTTGCAGCTGAGCTCTTTTTACATAATTGGGTAATTTATAAGGTGGCCAATAGCAAAGCATCCTCACCAGCCATCCACTTACTGCTTACTACTTTCACCTCTCCCCGTTGAAATCCACGACATGGAAAAATGGTGAGTTTATCTTATGCATTAAAGAAAAGATTAGAAAGAATTAATTAGAATGCTATATTGTCAAAATGAAAAATGTGTAAAAATGTAATTAAGGGAGAGCTGGGACAGTTGAAACACTTTTCAGATAAAAGTCGGTTTCTAAGGTTACAGATAGATTTTAGTTTTTTTTCTGTTTGTTTTGTGATCAACAAGTCACATATCACTCTATCAGGTGTTATTCGGTGCAAATATAGAGTGATTTAAGTAAAACTTTGAACAATAGTTGTGCTTTGTTGCAACGATTTAAACACACAGATGGGACAGATTAAACAAAACAGTTTAAAAAATAACTGATCTTGTTTTATGAACAATAGGCCTACCTGACAAGTGACGTACATATTGTTAAAAAAAATAATTATTACATTTTTCATTTAAAGGTACATTATTAATATTTTTGTTTTGTCGCCCAATAAACAATAGGCAATCAGCCCATGTGCATTTTGCATAATCTTTCTAATAGGCTATTTTGAAGAAGACAGACAAATCCATTTACAATTAATTTTCTTACATTTCTTGCTTGAGTTCTGTTGATTGTTTACTAGTTGAATAGCCTGTTGTTAATATGAAGAACATTCTGTCAACCGAATGATACTGAAGATTGAACAATGGATGATTATTAGATGAGATAACATGGATCAATAGTCCTATGAAACTATGAAAAGTATAAAGGAGAAGAAAGGTCTTAAATTTTCAATGGCAAATTGACTTAGACTTACCTAATGTTTTCCAATTTAAAACTATTACCGAACTTTATTTATTTTTCATTCTTTGTGGATTTGCTTGTTCACGTGACAAATCGCGTCACATTCGTGCCAGCATTAGGCTACGTCTTGTCTCATGCATGCGAAACAGACGGAGAGAAGGAGAAGAAAGTTGGTTAATTTCAGTTCAATTGTAAGTTAATTTTTTATGTGCGTAGTGGTGTGTGATGTGTATTGTTTGTCTATTATGATATTGCAATCATTGACACTGTGAGCTGACATCGCATTTGTCTCTCATGCTTGCTTTCACTGCGTGATGTGTGGAGTTAGCTCATGACGATCATAGCTCAATATGTCCCTTAATGCCAGTGCTGATGCCGCTTCTTTGTCATCTCTCCACCACAAAGAAGGATTTTGATGTAATAATTGAACTTAACTGCAGAGCCGGCCCAAGCCTTTTGGGGACCCTAAGCTAGCAGAATTTGATCTGGGGGCCCCTCTCACGACGCGGAGTCACCTGTGCTTGACGATTATTGACACAAATGTCATGCAATCATGATACATTATAAATGGATACACTGAAGTTATGTAGCCTATTACAATAAAATTAATACTTTATAAAAAATAGATGCCTACTTATATAAAAAAAGTTAACAGTCTTAAAACTGTCTCAAAACATATAAAATAAATTATTTGCTAAAATTATGACAAAACTGAGAAATTAGAAACATAAGAGCAAAGCTTCAACAACGATACTAGGCCAATTGTTGAAATATTACTATTTCTCAACTGTCTCAATACAGTGTAACTTTCCTCAAAATTTTTATTATTATTATTATTTATTGTAACAGACTTTGTTGGATAGTACATGACAGAATCCAATAAAGTCTGTTACTATAATACCATACCGGTAATGATGTTCTGGCGCTCGTTGTATTTGTGTATGCAATGTATTTTTCCCCTCGGGGCTTGCCGTAGATGGGTCGTGCGCACTTGGTACTAGACTTTTTCTGGTAGTGTCGCGGGTTTTGGGATTTAGTGATCTGATGTGTGGTATAAAAAAGTGGAGAAGAGTTCAAACTGCTATGTTTATTATTTATTCAAACTGTTACACTTACACCTTGAAGGTTAGTTCCCCTGCGACTATTTTCTCCAACTTAAACCGATACCGTGACTAGGCGCATGTTGTGCAATTGTCTATTTACGCGCGAGGTATCTAGAAGATTATGTGCATGACTGAAACGCTGGCAGACACAGCGGCAGTTGTAAAGGCAGGTATGTTGACCATTAAATCAGAATTTTGTTGAATTTCAAGGAAATTCCGAAATTCAGTGGTTTTCAAGGAAATGCCGATGTTTCATCCGTCCCGCGTTTCAATTGTCCTGTCTCTCCCCTATTACTTCTGATAAATACCTACTTGCTTTTTTAAACCAGTGTAGTTTTGCATCTTGTGTTGATGCTGTACATATGCCAAGTAATTGAGATTTATGCACATTATTTTGTACATTATAATCTGTTTCTATTTCAGTTGAACCTTTTTGTTGTTTTTTTTTTTTTTGACAGAATCACTTGACGTCAACGTGTAGAACTGATTGAATTGAAGCTTCAATGTAAATGTAGCAATGGGGTTGCTACCCATTTCAAACCAAAGGGAAGCAAAACATATTTGGCCTCAATATCAGAAAGCTTGCACAGTTTAACCTCTGCAGCAAGCTCACAAGCTGTGTAGATGCCAATATCTGTGGAGATAATTGGCTCTGTGTACAGTGGCGCCAGATCCAGAAACCTTCTCAGCAGAATGAAAGTTTCTTCTGTGGTGGTGTCATGCAAAATGTTCTCAACCAAGCCAAGTTCTCCACCAATCATCACACAGTTGTCTCCTGTCCTACATTTTATTGTAGCATTTTTAAGTGTGACCCTTTTGTATTGCAGTCTTGATGCACCGTCTTGCACTGTTGGGCCATTTGAGTGATTTCCACCGAGTTTGACTTCATCTGGTTGGTGCGTGGACTTGTTCTGTGTGGACTGTGTCTCAATAACACGTATCATTTGCTGGAGAATGTGTTGTGGTTTTCTGACCTTTCTTTTTAGCTGGCCCAGAAAGTTTTCGAAGCAAAATGCAGACACACAGTCCAAGGGACCAAACCTCCTCACATCATCTGCCTGATGACACAGAGAGTGGACATTGTAGACCATCTCCTCAACTCCATACAAGGTCCTGAACTGTTCAAGGAAGTACCTAATCAGGTTATCTGCATAATTGCAGTAAGAAGTAGCATCAAACAGAAATTACCCGCACACATACCCCATGTTCGAGGCGCACATATAACACTGCAGAGAGTTCAACAGGGAGCGCACAGCTCTTAAAGGGGCCACACCTTATTTACACTCGTTACAGTCTGAAATAAAACAAGATGAGAAATTAAATATTCCCAGCACTTTCTATGATGTAGTATGCTTGCTTATCAAAGGAAGCAATAAGAAATGACTCTTACATTAGCCTAGTGAGAACAGGATGTTGGGCGAAATCATTTTTTTTCTCTTTTTCATCAAACCGCAATTTTTGCAAGTTCCCTCAATTTTTGCAAATTCCTGCAATTTCATCGCATAAAATTGCATAAATATCCTGCATATTCCATCGCATTTTTAAAGAAAACGGGCCGCGTAATCAATCAATTTTTGCCCGCAACAATCACAAAAAAACTCAGCCTTTTTCTGGAAGGACTGAATACTATTATGGTAAATGTTATATATAAATCGCAAATTTTTTCACAAATTTTTGGAAATTACCACCACAAAATCAGTCATTTTGATCGCAAAAATCACACAAAAAAATCTTGAAATCCTGGAGGGACTGAAATATGTTTAGATCTTCACAGTGAAAAGTAAAACTTCTAAAATCTGTGTAAATAATGAGTGTACATTCGCAAGAGATCACTTCCGCCGTAGACCGAAGCGCCCGTGCCGTCAGATCAGTTGGACTTGGCTGTGGTTACAAGAGGTAAAAACAATATAAATACTGTTCGTTTTCTCACACAAACCGCTCGTTTCATGTCTTAGGCCATCAATGTGAACTTATATTTATGAGTCATTGAATCTTGTTTAATTTGGACTTCTCTGTGCATGCTCTTTGAGGTGGGGAACATAGACCTGCATTATATGACTGACAGACAAGAACGGTTTGACCTAAAAATATATAAAAATGGAAAATACTGCGGAAACAAATGGTAAATGGACTGCATTTATATAGCGCCTTCATAGACCTAATGGCCACCAAAGCGCTTTACATATTGCCTCACATTCACCCATTCACACACACATTCACACACCGACGGCGGTGTCAGCCATGCAAGGCGCCATCCAGCTCGTCGGGAGCAGCTGGGGTTAGGTGTCTTGCTCATGGACACCTCGACACTTGGTCAGGTGGAACCGATGATTGAACCACCAACCTTTCGGTTCGTAGACAACCCACATGAACCACTGAGCCACTGCCGCCCAAAGACACCTACATCTTGGATGCCCTTGAGGTAAGCTAAAACATATCAAAAATTAATTTCAAAGTGAACTATCCCTTTAATAAACTTGTACACTCACATTTTTGATACAGTTGCTGCAGTGATTTGGTGTGAAACGCATTTACACACCAGCATCAAGAAATGTGAAGTCTTGGAGAAATTTATGGACAACTGTAAATCAATATGTGAATTCATCCAATGAGAGTTGCAACCTTGAAGAATATTTCTTGTATATGTCTTGTATATGTATACTGCTCATTTTAGTTCACACAATCATTTCTCAGCAAGTTTAATGGATTATTTAAAAAAGAAAAATATAGTTTCAGCGTGAACTTAAAATACAATTGTGCATTTCATAAACGTATATAAACTTTATGAAATGATGCACAATTGTATTTTAAGTTCGCTTAAAATTATTTGGGTAAATTCACATACTGATTTGAGCATGTGTAAAATTTCTCCACAACTTCACATTTCTTGATGTGTGTGTGTGTGTAATGTGTGGATTTTCTCTCCAACTACAAATCACACTGTCACAGGCATTCAGTTGATTTAAATCAAATATACCTCCATAATTGCTATAATCATTTTCATGACAGTGTCATGTTTAAACTCACCTCTGAAGGAATTCAAGTGTGCTTGCGACTTCTGCTGGATATTGGAAGTTGAAGACAAAAGTAGGCAGCGAAGACTGCTGCCAGTCCATGCAGGAGGTTACTGTGGGGCCCCATCACACATGCTCCTTCCACGGAGATATTCCATGTGTCTGCGCCACGAAGTATCTCTTCTGAAACCCATTAACAATATGATAACTAAAAGCTGCACAACACACTATTGCCACCTAGATGAATTCAGTAATGTTCAAGTGGAGAAAGACTTCCACACCACCACTTGAACATTATTATCTCCTTTGACCCGTACACCCTCCATCAACAACTCAAATAAATTATTTTTTTATGTGCAACAGTCCTCCGTCAAACAGATGAATTCAATAAAGAATTAACTTTTACAAAATAAGGGAAGATTATACCTGGGACAACTAATCGAGGTGTGCTTGGCAGGGTGACAGCTCTCTCAATATCAGCAGCCATGGCAGAGGGCTGGAGAAAAAAAAAATATTAACATTAACAAAGTTAACCATGGGTAAGTTGAGTAAACGACAAAGAAAATTTGCCCCAAAAGCTGGAATGTTCTATTCAACACCAAGGGGGAAATCAGTTTCGATTTATGGTGCCAAACGTAGAAACAGCTGCAAATGGCAAATCTTTTTTTTTTTTTTTTTTATGGATGCCACTGCAATAAAATAGTAAATTAAAATCCGCTGGGGGTGGATGGGACTAAACGTGATAAACCAATCAGCCAAGGTCCAATATTTAAGCAATGTCTGCCTGTGCGTTGACTGCCTCGGAGAATGGAAAATTAGAATAACTTGTGCAAAGTGTCCATAGCAAAGGATGGGGCTGGTGATTGATTTCTGGTAATTAAAGGGATAGTTCACTTTGAAATTAATTTTTGATATGTTTTAGCTTACCTCAAGGGCATCCAAGATGTAGGTGTCTTTGTTTCCACAGTATTTTCAATTTTGACATTTTTAGGTCACACCGTTCTTGTCTGTCAGTCAAATAATGGAGGTCTATGGTCACCACCTCAAAGAGCATGCACAGAGAAGTCCAAATTAAACAAGATTTAATGACTCGTAAATGTAAGTACACATTGATGGCCTAAGACACGAAATGAGCGGTTTGTGAGAGAAAACAAACAGTATTTATATCGTTTTTACCTCGTGTAGCCACAGCCAAGTCCAACTCAACCGAACTGAACCGTGTCCAACGTCCCGCCGGAAGTGATTGCTTTCGTGTGTACGTCACTCATTGTTTACACAGAGATTTCGGAAGTTTTACCTTTCACTGTGAAGATCTAAACATATTTAGATGTACAGAAAATCGCAATGGAAGATGATTTTGATATATCTAAATATGTTTAGTGAAAGGTAAAACTCCTGAAATCTCTGTGTAAACAATGAGTGACGTACACACGCAAACGATCACTTCTGGCGGGACGTTGGACACGGTTCAGTTCGGTTCAGTTGGACATGGCTGTATTATATGACTGACAGACAACAACGGTTTGACCGAAAAATATCTAAATTTAAACTACTGTGGAAACAAAGACACCTACATCTTGGATGCCCTTAAGGGAAGCTAAAACATATCAAAAAATTATTTCAAAGTGAACTATCCCTTTAACAATTACAAAATAACAGGACAGAGATGGGAGTGAGGGAATAGTTAATTTATTTGTATGCACTGCAAGTTATACTCGCATCAGACATAAGCATCAAGAACCTTCCCCACTCCTGGTGTCTTCTGCTGTTGGAAGTACTATGATGTTCTGACTCCTGTTGTCTACGGCATCTGGCAGCTTCTCCTGGATAGGAATTCGGTCAGCTCACTGAAATGCGAGAACAGGCCCATGACCCGCTTTACGTCAATAACAGGACAAATAAAGAGCCATAACTACTTGTATAGGTAGTTTATTTAAGTTCAAACCTATTTGACAACATATTACCACAAAAATAAGTAAATCAACAGACCACAGAGCAGACCTTACTCTCGCTCGCTCGCACTCACTCTTTTTCTCTCGTGTTCACCACCACTCTCTGCATAACGGTTTAAACAAACAACAACAATAAATAAATGTGTGCTGATCAAGAGTTTTGTGCAAGCAATTTCGCGACGCTTGTCCCATAACGTTAGCTGGCTTCATTTGGTGATTGAAATAAATATTATTAACATTAATTCAAGTTTTGCAGTATAGAGAAACGATATTGAACACTCCGAGCGAGCTTGTAACTTTTTCTTGGCATGAAACAGTAAATAATCAAACCAGTGGAAGCCTGCAGTGCACGAAACTGTTGTAACTAATCAAACCTATCATGCAATAACTAAGTTATACCCAGTCTATGGTTATACCAGGCAACAGCGCGCCGCGCCCAGTCGGAAAGCAGACAGCCGCGCTACCGCGCGTGTGTTTTTCCACATTCGAATATTCATTTTCAGTTTTTAAAACTTTTTGAATATATATTCGAATTTAGAATATTCTTTGAGAGCCCTAAATGAGATTCGAGCTAGCTAGCCAATCCATCCAAACAGTGAAAGAACCATATTGACTTCAGGCAGATTAAAATAGCATCAATATGTGAAGAGCAAGGTTGCAAATTTTAGCAATTACCAGTAACGTTACGTACCCGATTTCAATGGACTGATGGAAGAATAAATGTTATATCAAAGCAGACGAAACCGTCACCATCCACTCAGATAACGAGAACTAATAACGTTTTATTTACGCTATAAAAATACATGTGTAACGGTAACAGTAAATTACATAACGTGAAGATAACTTACCTTCGTCCCAGAATTGCTTCTTTTCCGTCTTCTTGAATGACGGCTTACTCCCAGAATGTACGTTTTGAACCAACCGCCTAAAAATTAAAAATTCAGACCGCGATGATCCCATGATGCAACGCGGTGGCTGTAAAACCATTGTAAAACTCCGTGAATGGGCTTTATGCACGCATAAGTTCCGCATTTGACGCAAGGATGCTCGTCCATTTCCGTTTGTGTAGATTAAAGCGTAGGAGAACCGAGGAAAACGGGATTATGGCAGAGTCTTCAAAATTTACTGTCCTCCCGTCTTTGAAACGAAACGTACATACGTTTAGATGTAATTTTATATATAGTTATGTTTATTTAATATAATTTTAAAAATAAGCATAAACACAACGAGGGGTGTCTGTTTTATCTGTTTTTGTGACTAACGTTTCTTTATTATAACCATGGACTATAAAATTCAATATAAATTCTCTGTATTGCATTGGACTCTATACGATTGGAAGTCATCGAGCATCCTTAATCCTTCACCGGAAATACCGCCGTGCATAGAGCCCATACAGTGAGATTACAATAATAATACAGGACTGTCCATTAATTTCCCATGGTGCATTGCATTTTACATGTAAAACGCAAATACAATACATTGTTGTAAAATTTACTGTAAAAATTACATCAATTGCTAACAGTGTATATTTAGCTGTAAAGCTGATCTTTTCCAGCGTTTTTTTTATTTATTTTTTATTTTTTTGAAAACCAGGACATCACTTTACAGGACAGGACTGGGATAACAGGACTGGTGGTCACTGGTCACGCTATTGCTGCATAACTTCTGATTTTGAAATAAAAATAGCGAGTGTTTGTGGTACAGCTCACGCACTGCAAACGCAGCATATGTGAAAGCACTTTAGCGCGTGCGGCTCCTGTACCGGATACGCACCGCAACACTCACCGCATACGCACTGCAAACGGAGTATGTGTGAAACGGGCGTTAGTAAGATATTAAAAGTACTTGGATTGAAACCTTGTGGTTGAAGCAGGACGGCGTGCGTGTTTGCCCTTCAAGGTGCGCGTCGGTCGAGCTGAAGCGTTCTTATTGGATTCCTCCGGAGCGCGTGTTGTTGCGGGGAATTCAAACGGTCGACTACGTTGCTGGAGAATTTAGTAAATACGGCTCGCTCGTAGTTGGAACTGACTGAGCACAATATTAAAGGAACACTCCGACTTTTTGGGACTTTAGCCTATTCACCTTATCCCCCAGAGTTAGATAAGTCCATACATACCTTTTTCATCTCCGTGCGTGCTATAAGTCTGTTTGACGCACCCACCTAGCTTAGCACAAAGACTGGATGTGAATGGTTGCAGCTTTCATACTAATCCAAATAAGTGGCAAAATAACGCAAACGTTTTCCTATTTACATGTTGTGATTTGTATTGTCACAGAATGTACAAATAACAAAGTCAAATGAGATACAGACATCTTTTAACCGTATAAAACCTGGGAACTATTCTCTGAAGGCGAAGCACTGCTACTTTGACGGAGTGATAACCGCATCACCTGAGACACGCCGTGGTGAGGAGCGGAGAGTTTGGGTAACAGAGTCAGCAATTTATAAATAGTAAAAGCGTAGTTTACAGTCATGGGTTTTCGCTCTATTGTAAATAGCTGCGACTGTAAACAGGGGAGGTAATGCCATGTTTCACAGAATTCCAACTAAAAACGCTGACTGGATGAAGAAATGGCTAACTTACTTACTCTGGATATTTATCCAAACACATCTAAATAGATTATCAAGGGACATTATGTTTGCTCGGTACATTTCAATGAGGACGACTATGGAATTTGCCACACGGACCATAATGTGCTGAAGGATACGGCCATCCCATCGATAGCACAGACAGGACAAGTGGATCACCTGCGGCTGAGGTAAGTGTTCCGTTATGTTTTTAGACGACCTACTGTAACAGTGCCATTAGCCAGATGTAACGTTAGTGACACTATTATATGATTAGGGTATGAATATGTTTTTATCTTGATGCGGTGCGGATGCGCTTGGAAAAAAACGAGCGCGTTCACCGCGTTGAACTTGCACCCTGCGCGCGGCGCGCCTAGTAGCCTAAATTTGAAATAACCATGGAAATAACGAACTTGAGCGTGCAAAAGGGTACGATAGGCTGTGAGTTCATTGTGCAAAAACAATTTGTGCTATTACTTTCCCCTTATTCTATCCTATAGTAATGCAATTATACTGTATATTATATACTGTTGAATACATTTGGTTCAGCTAATAAATTGCATTTAAAATATATTGATTCCTGTAATAATAATTATTTATTCATGTTCTGTGATATTTATAAATCTGGGTGCGTTTTTGGTTGGAAATCAATGAAACATGGTACTGTATTACCTGGTATCCCCTGTTTATTGTCACAGCTCATACAATAAAGCAAACACCCATGATAAACTATGCTTTTCTATCTAACGTTAGTAATTGATGACTCTTTACTCCAACACTGAGCGAACTCTCTGCTCCTCGTCATGGTGCGTCTCAGGTGATGATTATCACTCTGCCCAAGTAGCAGTGCTTCGCCTTCAGAAAATATAGTATTTATACGGTTAAAAGATGTCTGTGTCTCATATGGTCTTGATATTTGTACAGTCTGTGTCTATACAAACCACAACATGTAAATATAAAAACGTTTGCGTTATTTTGTCACTCATTTGGATTAGTATGAAAGCTGCAACCATTCACATCCAGTCTTTGTGCTAAGCTAGGCTAGCGGTGGGTGCGTCAAACAGACTTATAGCACGCACGGAGATTAAAAAGGTATGTATGGACTTATCTCACTCTGGGGGGTAAGGTGAATAGGCTATAATAATAAAATAATAATAATTCGTTACATTTATATAGCGCTTTTCTGGACACTCAAAGCGCTTCACATAGAAGGGGGGGATCTCCTCAACCACCACCAATGTGCAGCATCCACCTGGATGATGCGACGGCAGCCATAGTGAGCCAGAACGCTCACCACACACCAGCTTACTGGTGGAGAGGAGACAGTGATGAAGCCAATTGGTGTATATGGGGATGATTAGGAGGCCATGATGGACAGAGGCCACTGGGCAAATTTGGCCAGGATGCCGGGGTTACACCCCTGCTCTTACGAAAGACATCCTGG